TCCAGTTCCAGGGGATCTGATGCCCTCTTCTGGTCTCTTCAGGCACTGTACAACATGGATGCACTTATATACATGCAGGCAAAACATGATGATACACATAAAATAAAAATAAATGAGGGGATGGAGAGATGGCTTAGCAGTTAGCAGCAATGGCTGCTCTTACAGAAGACTGGGGTTCGAATCTCAGAACCCACATGGGCTAACAACTGTCCATGACTATAGTTCCGGGGCATGTGATGCCCTCTTCTGTCATCTACAGGTACATGCCAGCATAACACTCATACACATAAAATAAAAATAAATTTTTAAAAATGAAATAAATTAATAATAAAAGATTTATTTTACACAAACAAAAAGCAAACCCCAAACCAAACAAACAAAACTGTTAGATTCATGTAATATACTCAGTCCAGGGATCATTTTTTTCATAGACCAGCCATTCAACACTCTCAGTACTTGTATTCTAAGAAATATAATCTGATAATCACTAAATGAGTCCAGGTCGTGAAGCATATGAACTCCTAGAAGTGAGAGGGGCTCAAAGGCTCAAAGCTTAACAAGTCCTGTCAAGGATGGGCTGTCTGGCTTTCTTCCCTTCTGTGCCAAAATGTGAATGGGAGTTCAGTCTACTTTTGGTATCCTGGCTACTCCTAAAGTCACTGTACGATTCCCTTGGCTGAACAGTAACTCATTCTTCAGATCTCTGTGTTTCCTAAGTATGGGCCAAGGTAGCAGCCTTGACTTATACAAGAAGGGCAACAGCTGACTTACCAGCCCAATATCTGACCGGCTCTCCCACAGGCGCGTCAAGGCTACTCTGGCCACATCTTCAAACACAGGGTCACCGGTGAGGCTGCTCAGGGTGGCAAATTCCACAATAAAGGTCCCAATCCCTGCTGTACAGGTGACAGGGGTCTCTCCAGGGTTCACACCATGAAGCAGGTTCACTGTTCCATAGGGCATGCCCGTGGGGGTCTGAAAAGCTAAATAATCAGAATCTTAAGACTCCAGGTAGAAGGA